TTTTATAGTACAGTAAATAATAGTTAAATAGTTTAATATTGTATGTGTTTAAATGTATAAATGTATTTTTAATATTTTGGCATATTTTTTAATCTGTGAGTAAGAAAAGAGTTATATTTATGCCAAATATACAGATTTTATTCCTGTCTCTTTACTTATTTTTGAGTGACTCTAACTGTAATGTTTCTACTGTAATTTGCTTGACCAGTCCCATATTAGTAAACATTGAGGTTTATTCATATATTTTTGTTATGAATAAAAGGATGACAAGAATCTTGCTCCACTAAGCTTCCTGTGCACCCCTCCCCCCTGCTCCCATGTTTTGGACTTTTGCCTTTGGCTAGAAATCTAGAATTAGAATTACTGTGTCATAGATGATACCTTTATCTATAATTCTCATAATATTGCCTCATGGTTTCCCAAATTTATGTAGCTAATAATTTATGAAAAATGCCATTTTTACCACACCATTGCCTGTACTGAGTTTTTAATCATTTTTAATATTTATTAATTTGATAATTGAAAAATGATAGTAAATTTCTGTAATTTTCATTTGTTTGGTTAATTGTCAGGTAATCAGAGTGGTATTTCTTCATGTGAATTGTCTATAATTTTTGCCCGTTTATCTCAAACTACTAGGCTTTTTAGTTACAAGCTCATTCAATAATGATGCTAAATTTTTGCCTGTATATTCCACAGATATTTTTCCACTTTGCCTTTTAGTTTTGGCTGCTTAAAGAAAATACAGACACACAGTTACGCTTTATAAGAAAAGTTTTTTGGGGAGATGGCAGGAGGAGTTGTCAGCTATATAGGATGATTAAAAGGTTGAATCTTTCAAAAGCAATTAGGTTGTATAGTCATATACAGTGTTCCTTGGCTAGTAGATTTATCACCCTAAGATCTGCATCCATCCATGTGATGTGTTCCCTTTGTCTCTGTGCTTTCCTGTAGCCATCTTATAAGAACAATGGTCATACTGAATTAGGGTCCCACCCCACCCCACTGTAACCTCATCTTAACCGATCACCTCTGCAGTGGCTCCTTTTCCAAATAAGGCCACATTCTGAGCTACTAGGGGTTATTAGGATTTCACATACCTTTTTGATGGAGACACAGACTAACACATAGTAGTCTGCCCTCTGCTCCTGTCCACTTCCAAATTCATATCTTAGCACATGCAAAATACTTTTATTCTGTCTCAGCATCCCTAAAGTCTTAATCCATTCCAGCATCGACTCTTAAGTTCAAAATCTTATCTAACTATAATAATCTCAGAACTTCCAAATCCTGTCCTCTGAATCATGTAAATCAGGTATCGGTGAGGCTATGAGACTCTGGGTGTAGTCCATTCTGTGGCAAAATTTCTTTTCATCTGTGAATCTGTGCAATATAGAAAAGTAACTTGCTTCCTAGATACAATGGTAGGGCAGGTGTAGTATAGACTTCCTATTCCAAAAGGGAGAAATTGGAAGGAATAAAAGAGTAAGTGATATAAAGCAGGTTTGTAACTCAGCAGGAAAAATTCCATTAGGCTCTAAAGACCTGAGAATAATTCACTGTGGCTTGATGATCTGCACCATGAACCCATTGGGGTAGCCCTGCCCCTTGGTCCTTCTCTAATGATACTTTATATTTAGGTTGAAGGCTGGAGTTTTGAGTTTTTTGGTGCCACAGAGATTGATTTTTCTCTGCTCTTTCCTTTACCACGCTTTGGTCCGTCTGTTGTGCTTAATTGCTGTTGTTTGTTATTTGATGTTTTGGGCTTGGGATTTCTCTGTTGCATTGGTCCATCCTCAGTCCTTGGCAGGTGCTGTATATCTGGGCTTCAGGATTTCACCACTTCATTCCCTTGTCCCTTTGGCAGACTTTGCTTTTGCATCTGTGGAAGGAGTTGTGAGGGAGACAGCTTCCTGCCTCTCCCCAAGTGCTAAAAGACCTCTGATAGTATTGTTATCGGATCCTGGGGTTGGGAGTTTTTCCTGCCCCTCACTTAGGGGTGAAAGATTTTTTTCCCTTTGTCCTCCTCACCATCACGGGTCTTTACTCGTGCCTGGTGTGACAGGGTTTGCTGCTAATCTTCCAGATGCTCAAGGCTTTTGAAAGGAGTGTCTGGGCAAGAGGTAGGATTTCATATCTTTCCCTCAGTGATGTTTGGTTGTCTTCTTCATGCCTGCATCACAAGGGAGATTCTTTCTGGTTGTTTTATCTCCTTGCTTCCAATCTTCCCCAAGAGCTCCTTGTAAGTAAGTGTTCACAGAGTGGAGCCTGTGAGTGGGTGTGACCTCTTATGTCTGTGGTTCTAGTGGCTCTGTACTATTGCAGTAGTCCACAGTCAGCCTTTAGCAGTGTGTTAACATTTTAGTCAATTTCTTACCTGCATGTCTTCCTCTGCATTTTCTTCCCTTAACTCTTCTGTCATTAGTAGATAGTCTGAGTGTATTTTGCTTTTTAGGGGTCTGTGGGGGAGAGCATGTCTGCCCTTAGATTTCAGTTTATTTGGTTGCCTTTGCAAATGCAAGTCTTCCATAGTTTTAAGAAGAGTTGTGATTTTTATAGTTTAAATGACTTTCTGGTTAGGTTTGGAGTGATGTTCTTTTAGGTATGGTTGGAATTTGATCTCTAGATCCTCTTGATAGGAACACTGTTTCTTTTATTTAAAAAATTAGGTCAAACTATCACTTTTTTTCTCTTAAAGTGAAAACTTTCAGGCTGTAAATTTGCTTCTGAGCATAGCTTTATTCACATACTTGGCATTTTAGTTTGATGTGGTTTTGTTTTTTTGGGGAGCATTTTCTCATCCTCAAGTTAATGAGATTTTTAAAATTATCCCTTTTTTTCCTACTTTGATTCACGTGTCTTGGGAGCTCTTTTTATGCTTATAATTGTTATATCTTCCTGATGGACTGGCCTTTTTATTATAAGATTCTGTCCCTCTTTTACACACTGATCGCCGTGTCCCCCGAAGTGTTTCCTCAGGAGCATCCAATCCACAGCGGGCAATCAGCGTGTTAAAAATGTTTTTGCTGTGCTCTTTTCCTCGTAGGGTCCAGGGTGCATTGGCTGCAAACAGCATTCTCCTTGGTAGTGTATGCAGCCTGTTACCTGTATGGATTGCCCTAAGGGGCCTTGAAGACAGCCCTTTCCAGTGGACATTTATGTCTGGCATACTGTCCCCAACCTAGGCTCTAGACAGGTGTGCGTGGTGCCTTAGGAAAACTCCAGGGCATGGCTAGGTCCACATTAGCCAGGTCATCATGTCCATCTGCACCAAGATGTAGAATAAGGAGCATGTGATTGAGGCCCTATGCAGGGCCAAATTCATGTTCCCTGGCCACCAGAAGATCCACACCTTGAGGAAGTGGGGATTTACCAAGTTTAATGCAGATGAATTTGAAAACATGGTGGGAGAAAGGCGGCTCATCTCTGATGGCTGTGGGGTCAAATATATCCATAATTGTGGCCCTCTGGACACATGGTGGGCCTGTGCGCAGGAGAGCCTTGGCTCTGTCCCCTCCTTACTCACGCCCACCAGCAAATCCTACTTTCCTGTCAGAAAAAAGAAAAGGTTTTTGTTTTAGAGTCTGTTTTTTGGTCTGATATAATGCTAAGCCATTCCAGCTGCCTTGTACTTGGCTTGTCTTTTGCATGATATTTCTTTTTTTATCCTTTTACTTTTAACTTATTTGTTCTTCATATCTAAAGTATGCATCCTCTAGACAGCATATGGAACTTGTTTTTTTTTAATCTAGTTTATCAACCTGTCTTTTGATTGGAGTATTTTCATATTCATTGCTGTTATTAATAACGCGTGGATTTACATCTGCCATTTTACTGTCTGTTTTCCTTGTCTTGTGACTTTGTTCTTTCTTTTTTTATACTACCTTTTATCTTTTTGTAAGTGGATGTTTCCTGGTGTGCCATTTTCATTCCTTTCATGATTTTTAAATTAATATTTTCTTGGTTTATTTTCTTAGTGGTTGCTCTCCAACTTACAGTATTCATCCTTATTTACCATAATCTACTGAACGCCAGTAATATATAGAAAATTAATTTCATTTCTTCCCTCACCCCATGCTATTATTATTATAGATACTGTGTCTCTATATATACCACAAGCCCAACAATACAGTGTTAAAATTACTGCTTTATATAATCTTATGTCTTTTAAAGAAGCTAAGAGAAGGACGCCACATACATGTTTAAAGAACGTGTGTGTGTCCATGTACACACACGTGTATTCCTGTTTACGTTTTGTTTTTCTTCATTTCTTCCTATGGGTTCCAGTTACCATCTAGTGTTGTTTCCTTGCTCCAATAATAGCTTTATTCCCACCCTCTTTCATTGTGTTGTGACTATCAAATATATACATTTCTATGTGTTGTAGTCCCAACAGTACAATTTATGGACATTGTTCTGTGTGATTGCTTTTTAAATTAAGAGAGCAATGAGGAAGAAATAGCTATCCATACTGTCTTATTATTTCCTACAAAATTACCTTTGTCAGAGCTCTTTGTATGTGTTTTTCAATTGGTCTATATTTATTTTTTAAATTTCAGCTTTATTGAGGTATAATTGATGGGAGCTCTTTGTTTTTTTGTGTGTGGATTGCAGTTACTGTCTAGTGTCACTTGATTGTAGCCTAAAGAATTTCCTTTAGTATTTCTTGTTAATCAGGTTTGGAGCAACAAGTGTCTCAGTTTTTGTTTGTTTGAAAATGTTGTTATTTTACTTTTATTTTTGCAGCATAGCTCTTCTGGATATAGGATGCTTGGCTGACAGTTTTGTTCTTTCAGCATTTTCAATATGTTACTCCACTGCCTTCTTACCTTCTGTCTCCCATTCTTTCTTTTTAATTGAAGTATAGTCAGTTTACAGCATTGTGTCAATTTCTTATGTACAGTGTAATATTTCAGTCACACGTACACATACATGTTCCTTTTCATATTCTTTTTCAAATGCCACAGACTTTGACTGTTCTTACTGAGATTTAGTGGATTGTTTTTGGATAAAATTTTCTCTTTGCTGCATGTCTTTAGGACAATTTTCAGAGACTTCATTATTTTAAAAAATTTTAAATTGAATTATAATTGGTATACAATATCATATAAGTTACACGTATACAGCATAGTAAGTCACAGTTTTTAGATGTTACATTCTGTTTATCGTTACGAACTACCTACTCTGGTCCTTGTGCTGAACGATGTGTCCTGGTAGCTTGTTTCATACTGAGACTTTGGTCCTTTCTCACCTGTGAAGTGGTTAATTCACTGGGGAGAGGATCCATGAAGCTCTTCACCCTGCCATTGCAGAAGTCTGGAAGGCCTGTCTCCTTTTTTTTTTTTTTAAATATCCATCATAACTTTTTGTTTCATTTAATTCATCATTAAAGAAGAATAATGACGTCCTTTCACTGTCGGCATTATGGAAGTTACTGAGATAATTCTTTGAGGCCTGTATTCATATTTTTCCTGAATTTTGCCTTATAAAATGTTACTGTTTTACTGTGCTCTGTCCTTTACTTTTTAAAGTCTTATTGATTATTTATAGGCTAAAAAAATGTACGTTAAATTCTTCCATTGTAAGCGTTTGATGCCGCCTTCTGGTAATTTGAAGTTAGAGATGCCCTTACTCAGTGTCTAGGTTAGTTGTCGTAAGTTGGGATCTTACTTTTTAGGGGTATAAAATAATTTCTGTAATTCAATTCAGTCTGAATCCTTGTCATTAAGTAAAGGAGTTGAAATTAATTCACCTGACTAGATGTTAGGCTTTTTTGGGAACTGTGTTCTTATAAATATTGTCGAGTGATGTTATTTGACACCGCAGTGCATAGTGGAGGAAACGTCTCCAGATTTAAACGTACATGTGATCCTATTGAAGTTAGCTAGGTTATACTTTATTACTGTTCAGAAATTGGTTTCTTTTTAGAATTAGCTCATCTGATTTAGTTAGGCATGAGTTTTTGTGTACTCAACTTCTGGTCAGTTGATAATCTTATTCATTATACACAAATACTTGTAGTTTGCCGTTATATAATTTAGTCTTTCATGACAAGGTGGTACTGTCTATCAGCTGTTTTCCCCTGGGTGAAGGACCAAATAGATGTCAAAAGTTGCTGGAAGTGTTCATTGGCCAGTACCTTTGGGGGACATCTCTGATCTCCTAAAGTGTCTTCCTCCAAGGCCTGGTGTGTCAGGTTGGCAGGGCTGAATGATAGCTCATGTGGGATTCTTGTGGACAGTTGGAGTGGCCTAAAGCTTGTTCACTCATGTAGGACTGTCCCTCACCTCTTAAGTCCCAACTCCCTGTATGAGACTCCTTTACATATGCTTACTTCCAGCAGAAGAGAAAGGCAAACTTCTTTTTACACCCTTATGACAGGAATCAGTTAAATATTGGTGAGGAGGCTTTGAGACTGAGGTGGGGTAGGCAATGTCCTGCCCCTCTGGCCTTTGTGCCTGTGAAAATTCTTCCTATCTTGTGGTGTTTTTGAGTCTAAGGAAACAGTGCCTTGTGAAATCCTACTAGGACTATTTATGTGTCTTTGTTGATGTTTTCATGTTTGTGTTGTTTGTTAAAATTAGATTACAGTCAGAAAAAATGAATTCATGTTTTGAAATAGAGTAGGTTAGATTGTAAACCTGATCTTGACTTCTGAAGATAACTGTAAAATCCAGATTTGTATAAAGCATTTGTAAGATTTTAGTTTCATGTCGTTTTTGTTTTTGTTCCTCTACCCTAAGACTTGCTACATTTGTGATGAACAAGGCAGAGAAAGCAAGGCAGCCACTGGTGCTTGCATGACGTGTAATAAACACGGATGTCGACAGGCTTTCCATGTGACATGGTAAGTATATTTCCATCATTATACAGAACTGAAGTTGGGAATACCTTGTCAAGTTACAGGCTTAGGTACCAAAATATTTAAAGTATATTTTATTGGGATAGGTTCTATGTTTATATTTACTTATTTATAATAAGGATAATTACAATAATTGGAATATATTTACCAGAGTGAATTTTTAGTAGGTGGACCCTAGTTCTGATGTTTTATTCAGTTTAATTTTGGTTAAATGGGATTTATTTGTGTTTGTTACCTGCCCTTTGATTTGGTATTAGGATTAAAAGAACTGATGTAGATGAACTTAGTGCAGTGCCTGCAATACTAGTAAGGATTTAATGAGTGATTTCCTCAATGTGTTTCCGGGAGGGAAAAAGCCATCACCATCATTCTCAGTATTATAGTCGCTATTCTTTAAAAGGTTACTTGGATATTTTTTGAGCATAAAATTTCAAGAGCAGAAATTACCCTTAAACAAAACATTCAACGTAATAGATAACAGTTAAAAATAAAAGATTGGGAATGATTCATGTACTTATTAATTTTAAGAGTCAGTCTATATTTAGCAGCCAGTATAGGTACAGGCCTTATTTCCTGAGCTTTTAGCATGTGGATTTGTGAAGTCCATTTTAGATTACTTTTGGAGAATGAAAAGGATTTTTGTTTTATATAAATTCTCTTAATATTGTATGTAATTTTCCAAAGTTCAATGACCTTTTTTGGGTTTGAGATATATACTACTACTGTAATTCTGGAATGTTAAAAGTGGAAGATCAAATTGACAAAATGGTAATTATAAACTTAAGCATTTTGTGTATTTTAAAAATATGAATATCATAGCTTTAGTTTTCAGTTTCATTTCTTCCATTATTTTTGATGGGAAAACATGGCTATGTATCTCTACCTGCTGTACTTTGCTATGACTTGAAGCATTTTCCTTCTAACAGTAGGTAATCTGCATCTATGGCAAATTCTTCACAAGTCAAAGTCATTTCAGCCCTTTAGAGGTCTGGCTTTTCCAATGCACCTGTGACTCAGCTTGAAAAAGTAAAATGAAGTTTTAAGGTTAGGGGTGTATCTTAAGAAATTTAATGTCTATTTGGTGACATAAAACGTGTAAATCTTCATCCTTGTTAGAGATGGATGAAAAGTTAAATTATATATATATCTTTAAAAATATATCAGTCATGGGATGAAATGTTTTTGGTCTCAGCTACAAAGAGCCTTTTATCTTCCCTTTTCCTCTTAGGAGATGTAAGAGTTTTTTGTTTAGTTTTGTTTTTTGTTTTTGTTTTTTTAA